TGAACTTGCAGATGCCGATACAGTTATCCAGACACAGCTCCGACTTGAGGAACTCACAGCAACCCCTAACAATCCCCATGATGTTAAATTGGTCGGCAGCAGCCAGCAGCTTCTCCACATTGTCAGGGGTGATTGGCACGGTCCGAGTGTACGCATACTCAATAATTAGCTTCATCATGTCGGGGGAAATGCCAGGAATGTTGTAAACCTTCTTCTCAGTGTTGTTCCAGCCACTTGTAAACAAAGCTCTGGGTGGGGGGGCAAAAATGAGAGAAGTTAGCAGCACAGAAACATTCCTCTCCTGGTGGTCACCCTCACCCCATCGCCACCCCTGGCCCCTTTACTTTCTGAGAGCTTGGACACACTCCAAGTGTTGCCTGGTGAGTATGTTGGAACAAGACTGTCCAGAGGGAGTGCAGTGAAGAATGGTTTTATACAGTGGGTGTGGACTGTTCTAGGAACCTCCTGTGGTCACTCTGTCTTTACCCTCTATTTTCAAGGTGTGCGCGTGTAGGTACACTAGCCTGTGCTTGCACACATCTCCCATGTGTAGACAACCCAACTCAGCCCCAGAGCAATCCTTCCAAAGAACTTATGTAACCCTTGCACTCAAAACCTTCCCCTGATGTTAAGAGGGAAACACCAGGTCTTTACTAATCACTACATAAGCAGGTGAGCTCTGGGCGTCTCCCACCTTCCCTGTCCTCTATCCTGGGGGCTCCTTAGGTATTCTTTGTGCACTGGAAATAATTCTGCCTCCTTACTTGTCTTCCCTTCTCCTGGATGGATTCCCCAAGACTTCTGCATTCCATGTCCTAGTCCGTTTGATAATCCAAGTATCACCTTGCCAGCAAAGCCTTCTCTGACAATCGTTTTTAGCTTGCTTGTGTGTGTGTGCCCAAGCGCGCACACACACACATGTGGCAAGTGTTCCTGTGCATGAGTGTTCCTGTGGAGGTCAGAGGGCAACTTGTGGGATTTGGTGCTCTCTTTCCACCATGTAGATCCCAGGGATTGAACCTAGATCCTCATGTTTAAGAACAAGCATCTTTACTAGGGAGTCATTTTGCTGGCCTCTGACAGCCCTGTACATATACGTTTTTAAGATTTAAAAAAAATACTTATGTTCATTAAACATGGTGCATACCTTTAGTCCCAGAACTTTGAAGACAGAGACAGGGAGATTTCTGAATTAAGGCCAACCTAGACTACATAATGAGTTCCAGGACAGACATGGCTACATAGAAACTCTGTCTGGAAAAAAAGGAAGGAAGGAAGGAAGGAAGGAAGGAAGGAAGGAAGGAAGGAAGAAAGGAAGGAAGGAAGAAAAGTCTCATGAGAACAGAAATTTCACCTCTTTATTTTCTTTCCAATACCCAGAATACCACATCAGAAAATATGCAAAAAATATGCAATAAATGACCACAGCTATACATTTCTGGGATGCTGAATAAAACAATTTCTTTTCTAAGAAGCTTAAGGACCAGTGGGCTTAGGCATCAAATTCTTCCTCAGGACCCTGGCTTGCCAACCTACAACCTCTGCCAAATGCAGCTCAAAGCCAGTCTGCCTCTTGCTTTTGTACTGTCCCCGGATAACAAGGCTTCTCTTTCCAATTCTGCATGATGGAGGGAGCAGAGTGTGAAAAGAACATTTCAAATTTCAGTGTCCACAAATAATTTGTATTAGTCCTGTCTGTGGCTGTTCATTTTTTTTTTTAAAGGTAGGGTCTCACCTGTGTAGCTCTGGAACTCCCTATGTAGACCAGGCTGTCCTAGAACTCAGAACTCAAGAGATCTGCCTGCCTCTGCCTCCCACGTGCCAGAATTAAAGATGGACATTAACATGCCTGGCCATGTTTGGCTCTTCTTGACATAAAGGCAGGGTTGGACAGTTGCAAGAAAGTATATGGCCTGTAGAGCTTAAGGTGTTTTACTGTCTTGGAGCTGGAGAGATGGCTCTCTTTTCCAGAGAATAGGGTTCAAGTCCAAGTACCTACATGGTAGCTGACAACAGTCTATAACTCCAGTCCCATGGGACCCAGTGCCCTCTTAAGATCTCTTCAGGTGACTCATGCATGTGGCATAGACAGACAGACATGCAGGCAAAATATCCATAAATAAAATAAATGAACAAATGCAATTAAAAAAAAGATATTTACTATCTTATTTCTGTTGTTTTGGCTTGGTTTGTTTGTTTTTTGTTTTTTTTTTTTTTTTTTTTTTTTTTTTTTTTTTTTTTTTAAGAGACAGATTCTCACTCTGTGCCCAGGCTGGCCTTGAACTACTGATCCTCCTGCCCCAGCCTCTCCAGTGTTGGAATTACAGGCATGAGCCACTGTGCCTGATTTATGGTCTCTTTATAGCTTCTGTTCTAGAGTGGAGAATCAATCAGGCATGTCCTCCCTTTTAACATTGCAGTGCTACATTGCCGGCTACAAAGCTTATGCTTGAGAACAGCTCAAGCCAGTTACAAATAAACCAACCCAAAGTCCTAGGGCTGGAGAAATGGTCCGTGGTTAACTTGGCAGCTTGCTCACACTGCTCTTGGGGAGGACTTGAGTTCAGTTGCCAGCATCCATGTCAACTGTTTGTTTCTACCTTCAGTTCCAGCATCTGTATATACCCCCACACAGGCATGCAAGGCATGCATACAGTCTTTCTTGTTGCTTTTTTGTTTGGTTTGGTTTATCAAGCCCTGTGTAGCCCTGGCTGTCCTAGAGCTAGCTCTTTAGACCAGGCTGACCCCAAATTCACAGAGATCTGCCTGTCTCTGCCCCTGGACTGCTGGGATCAAAGGTATGCACCAACACCACTTGGATAAATCTCTTTCCCCCCCACCCCAAGTTTCCAAGTTTTAAAGTTTTCATCTTGGCAGAATGAGACCTGCAGGCCCCTCAACCGAATAGAGTTTTTTGGGGGGGCAGTAGGGTAAGGGTTGGGGTTTTGTTAATTAGGCAACTGAGACAGTTGTAACTGAGACAGAATCCTGTATGTAGCTCAGGCTGGCCTCGAACTCACATAACCAGGTTGAACTTGAACTTATCTTGGTGCCTCGGCCTCCTGCAAGCTGACATTACAGATGTGTGGCACAATGCTTAACTCTCATCCATTGTGCTTTTCCCTCCGCTCATTTGTTGTCACTGTTGTTTTGAGACAGGATCTCACTAAATTTGATCTATTGTCGTTACTGGTGGTGGTAGTGGTCTGTCTGAGTACTGGGGCTTGAGTACAGGACCTAGTGCATGCTGCACAAACCTTTTACTATGGAATATATATCCTCAGCCCCCAAGGCCTTGAATTTTTGATCCTCTTGCCTCAGCCTCTGAGTAAATGGGATTATAGACCTCTACCACCGAGCCGGGCTTGAATAAGAGTTTTTAGCAAAAGGTGAACATATTTCTCATGTTTTCACTGGGACCCAGTACTCCGACTTTTTCAGCTTATAAACAAAAGAGCCCATGCACTTCCTGAGTTAAGAATCTCAGTCCAAACACCCTTTCTTTGGAAAATATTTCCAGGGTACTCTCCCCTTATCCCCTCCCCATCCTCTCTACCCTTATTAATCTACATCCCTGCTTTCAGTGATCTCTACTGGGACTATGCCAACAGATCAGTGATATCAGAAGCAGTAATATCATTTAGGCTACGTCCAGAATCCACAGGTGTCCAACTAGAAGTTGGTTGGGATGAGAATCAAAGAGAAAGCCCCTGACCTGTCAAATGTTGACTGAAGACCAGTTTAAAAAACATCAGGAAACAGATGGAAGCTCTGGCCCTGGCTGTGACTGTCCTGAAGGCAGCACAGGCGACAGGCCACAAGGTGTCCAGAGCTTCAGTGTCCCTGAATTTAAGATAATAAATGGGAAATGGAAACACAGATGAAAGACCCTCAAGAGGAGCCTGTCTCCCCTTGGGCTCAGCTCGGGCCCCTTTAGTTGTACCTAAAGTAGGAGCTGCAGCTACAGAGGATGTTCTTGTGGGCATTGAACTCGAAGCCATTGACTTTGATGACCACGTCGCAGAGCTTGCCCTCAAGTCGGAGCTCGTTGAAGATCTCACAGGTCATCGCACTCATCTTCCTCTCCATGTGAGGCTGGTGGAACCGGGTGGAGGCCGCCGTGTTCTCCATCTCCATGGCACCTTGGGACCAGGGGAGAGAGGCCACTCTCCTGGGGTGTTGGGGAGGGTTCTGGGGGGCCCCTTTAGCCAGCTGTCGCTCCTTTTCCCTACTACATCTTTCATATAGGGTCCATCAGGCAGCCCAAGTTCCAGAATCCTGGGCAGTGAGATCACTCAGGATTGTGCTCTCAGGTTCTGGAACCCCTCCTACACTTTCTTCTTCTTCCCCCTCCCCCCAGGACATGCAGATAGACCACCCCACACCTCCTTCCTTGCCCTCAGACCTAGGGCACAACTGTGGCCACCAACACAATGGAGCCTTTTTATTCAGTCTACTTCCTGTTGCATTTTCAGGTTGAACCCACATTCCTGCAGCACCCTTCCACAGCTACCAATGGGCTCCTCGTGTGTGCAGAGCCATAAGCAAAGCTGATTAAATGTCAGGCTGGCCAGGGTCTTCTAGACCCTGAGATAGATAGATGTCTTAATTTGCTTAGTGATGATGAAGGGCCCAGTTAGGAAAGTATCTCCTGGGTGCATCCCCAGTCCAAATTGCAAACGGATACCTGGTGGGCTTTTGTTTTTGTTGCTGTTGTTGTTGTTTGCAATGCTGGGGTAAACCCAGGGCCTCAAACATGCAGGAAAGCACTCCTCCACTGAGCTATGACCTGAATCCTGGGAAAGACAGCTCTTGCCAAAGGGTTCCAGAAAGAGTGACAGAAGCCCATACACAGCAAAGCCTCATGACAGTCCATACACAGGACCCCAAGGACTTGGTCCTCCCCCACCCCTCCCACACACACAGTAGAACCCCCCCACCCGATTCTCCCGCCAGCATCCTGAGCCAGCCTGCAAACGGCCGGCCCACAGCCCCCAATCCAGTGCTGCTGGAGTGAGACGACGCCTGCGCAGTGAGGCTGCGGGGCGGGCGCTGTCTTCGGAGCCACCCACCAGGCCGTCGGCGCGATGGCGGAGGAGGTGAGGCCGTGGGTGGGGAGCGTCCCGCGTGGCGGGATCGCGGGAGCGGGAGACCCAGCTGCTCTGGTGCCCATCGTGGCGCTCGGGTCAGCGGGTCTCTCGGGTCTCGCGACAGGTGAACAGTCTGATGAAGGCCACTGTCCTGATGCGGCAGCCCGGGCGGGTGCAGGAAATCGTGAGCGCCCTTCGCAGGGGCGGAGGAGATCGCCTCCAGGTATCGGGGCGCCGGGCTCGGGGAGCGGGGGCACCGTCGGGCCGGGAGGCGGAAGGGTGCCTGTCCTGCGGCCTTCCCATCAGAGCCGGTGCGCACGCTGCGAGCCTGCCCAGAGTGGGCTTGGACAAACAGATTGGCTCGCCTCGGGAGAGAGCCTACCTGTCCCAACAGCCAACTTTCAAAATAGTCCGATGTGGCGGTGCCGCTTGGTTTCTGAAAGCAAGTGGGTGGAACCTGGCTGCCCGGCTATCCCAGGCTAGGTGGCTCCACAAGAAGTTGACGATGGGGATGGTCATAAAGGTCGTGAGGCACCTTAAGAAAGAACCGGTGCATTTGAGAAAGATGCCACTGAGAGCCACCCGCGCACTCGGGGGATTTTGTTCTCCTCAAGGTTAACTCGTGTACTGACACAGATCTTTTCTTCCTCTCCCCCCTCCCCGCAGCCTTGCAAAGGCTTTGCTGCTGACTGGGCAGTGACTGGTTAGACATGTGGTTAGCCCAGACTAAGGCAAGGCCAGGTTTGAAGGTGCCTACTCAGCCAACATCCTCTCTCTTTGGTCTCTTAGGTGATTTCTGATTTTGACATGACCTTGAGCAGATTTGCTTACAATGGACAGCGATGCCCCTCTTCCCACAGTAAGTCACATTTCAGACTTCCTTGCAGAGCTCAGGATGACAGCTGCTAAGGAGCAAGTAAAGGAGTTTTGTGTTTTTTCAGATATTCTGGATAACAGCAAAATCATCAGTGAGGATTGTCGCAAAGAGGTGGGTCACTCCCTTCTTTGCTCAAAAGTGGCTACGCTTCTGGGGTTGAACTACAGACTCCATCACAGAAATCTTAGGAAAGTTCATTCTGTGGACCATCGTGGAGGCCTATAATCCCTGTTATTTGGGAGAGGGAGAATTGCAAGTTCAGGGTCTACATGGGCTCCACAAAGGATTCAAGGTCACCTTGGGCAACTTAGCGAGACTCTACTTCAACATACAAAGGCTGAAACAGGCAGCATGGCATAAAGGAAGCCAGGCAGTGGTGGCGAATACCTTTAATCCCAGCACTCGGGAGGCAGAGGCTGGCGGATCTCTTGAGTTCAAGGACAGCCTGATCTACAAAGTAAGCCAATACTAGGCCATTCGGGGCTAGCAGAGAAACCCTGTCTCAACACGCCGCCACCTCCCCCCCCCCTAAAAAGGAAAGAAATAGAGGCAGATGAGCAGCATTCAGGGGAAGGAGGTAGGCAGATCTCTATGAGTTTGATGCCAGCCTGGTGTACAAGGCAAGTTCCAGACCAGCCAAGGCTACATAGTGAGACCTTGTCTCAAAAAGAGGGAGTCTGGGATATAGCTCAGAGATAGCTCACCAAGCGAACCTGAGAAAGAGAGAGACAGAGACATATGCATGCAGGTGCCCTTAGAGGATCCCCTGGAACTGGAGTTACAGGTGGTTGTGAATTCCCTGTGTGGAAGCTGGGAACTGAACTCCCGTCCTCTGGAAGAGCAGGGTGTGCTATGCTCCTAACTGCTAAACCAGCTCTCCAGACCCCGAGTCTAGTCTTAATACATGAGGACAGCTTTTCTCTATTGATTGGGGCACCACGATGGGTGGTTCATCTTTGAACACTGTGCTCATTGAACAACCCTCTACTCTCAGAGGCAGATAGAACTGCCATATTACTGTCTCCGTTTAACGTGTGGGGAAAAGGTGCTTAAAGAGGCTGAGAGCAGAGGCAGGAGGATCTCTGTGGGTTCGAGGCCAGCCTGGTCTACAGAGCGACAGGCTCCAAAGCTACAGAAAAACCCTGTCTTGAAAAGCAAAAGAAGAAAAAGAGCATCTTGCCCAAGGTCATTCAGTTGAGCCGCATGTCTTGGTTTTGCACACTTTGTCCCAAACTCTTCCCGCTGTATTGTGCCGTGTCCTTGATGATGTTACTTTCCGGTAAGGGACCAGATATGGAGAATGTTCTGAATAAATGTTAATTCATGTTTGTAGGATGCATACAAATGCTGAGAAGCCAACTCTAGAACTTTGGCCTTCATTTACTTGGCTCCAGGCCTCTGGCCTGAGTGGCCCCTTGCTGGAGCAGAGCGAGGCTAGGCTATTACACATTGCTGAGTTCATTCTTGTAGCTAACTCTGTCACTTGGTGTTCTCTCTCTCTCATTTTTCAAGACAGGGTCTCTCTGTGCAGTCTTGGCTGTTCTGGGACTCGCTCTGCAGACCAGGCTGGCCTCGAACTCACAGAGATCCACCTGCCTCTGCCTCCTGAGTGCTGGGATTAAAAGCTTGCACCACCACCACCTGGATGGAGTTGCTTACTTACTGATATATTGGTATCTTGTGTTGGTTGATGCTTCCTGTACCTTGTGTTTTGTTTAGGCCTAAACTGGCCTGGAACTTGCCTTGTAGCTGAGGCTGGCTTTGACTGCTGGCATGAGAGATATGTGTTTGTGATACTGTGGACTCTTAATGTGGTGACTATGAAGGTGGGCAGTGATAAGAGGCTGCATGCTTCCAAATGAGCTGTGCCCTCAACCAACACTAAGGCTCTTGAGACGTTTCAAGAATATTCTGCTTCATAACATGCAACCCTTGCATTTAATTCTCTTTTGGACAGGTGGACAGGGACTCCGTTTGAGTCCCAGGACTACATGTGTCTATTAAATCTTTTACTCAGTCAATCCTCAGTCTTTTCCTGAGGAGTCTTACTGCCTGGTTCTGTATGACACATGATCCACGAAGTGACTGCCAGAGTATTAAAAGTCCTGGCATCAGAAGGAAACATTAGCTAAAATGCAGATGATGTGATAATTATACCTGGTGGTGACACTGGTGGCCTTATCACCAACATGCTGTGTCTCTAACTCCAGTCTGCACTTTATGATTCTTTGTCATGTGCTGAAAGTCCAACCAAGGGCCTCACGCACGATAGGCAAGTGTTTGACCACTGAGCTGAACCGCAGTCATAATTTCATGCTTTTTCTTTGTCGGCCATATCTGTGTATCATTTTTATCAAAAATTTATCTTTATATTTTAATTTTAGTTCTTTTTATCTTTGAGATGGGGGTCTCACTATAAAGACAAAGATGGCCTTGAATCTCAGAGACCTCCTGCCTCTGCCTCCCATGTGCTGGGATTAAAGGTGTGCCACCACTGCCCAGCTGCAACAAATGCTGTAGCCACTGTGTCACCTCTCTGCCCGTGTTTTGGTTCTTTGACATGGGTTCTCATTTAGCCCTGGCTAGCCTCAAATTTGCTATGTGGCTGAAGATGACTTTGAACATCTCCCAAGTACTCTAAGTATGTGCCAACACACCCTATATGTGTTTGTGTTCATGGGGATGAAACCCAGGTCCACGTGCATGCCAGGCAAACAAACATTCAGCCAGGTGAGCTACATCTCCATCCCTTATTTGACATTTGTTACTTATGTGGCTGCCTTATTGACTAGTTTCTTGTTGCTGTTTTTGGTTTTTCAAGACAGAGTTTCTCTGTGTGATAGCTCTGACTGTCCTAAAACTTGCTTTATAGACCAGGCTGGTCTTGAACTCACAGGCATCAGCCTGCCTCTGCCTCCCAAGTACTGGGATTAAAGGTGTGAGCCACTACACCAGGCTCTCACTGACTGGTTTTTATTACTATTTATTTTATGTGTACAGGTGTTTTGCCAGTTTGTATGTCCTATGTCTATATACCTCAACAGTGCCTGGGGCCCACTGAGGCAGAAGAAGGTGTCAGATCCACTAGGACTGGAGTTATAAACAGTTGTGAGCCACTATCTAGATTCTAGGGATTGAACCCTGGTCTTCTGTAAGGGCAGCAAGTGTTCTTAACTGCTGAGCTAACTCCAGCTCCCACTGATTTTGTAATGCTGAGGGTTGTGCTCTAGACAAGCTCTCTGCCAACAGGCTGCATCACTGTTCCCATTCCTTGTCTTTCCCCCCATCTGTGTATGTTTATATTTTGATTTTGAAACATAGTTTTACTATTTAGGCTTGCCTATGTAGCCTAGGCTACACATCTATAATCCTCCTTCCAAGTGCAGGGGTTATAGGCATGGGCCACCAAGTCTAGCTCTTGTTGAGGACTCTTAGGCCTCCTTCTCAGGGCGGGTGCTGATGGGTGATTAACTCTGAGAAGGCAACCACACTGCAAACCGTATGTAATAGGTTGAGTGTGAGCTGTTGAAAAACAGGAGGAGAAACTTGAGTCTCGTGATGGTGTATTCCTACGTAAAGACTCGAAGAACACTTTTTTTGTGGGAAGCTCCATCCTTGAGGTGGTTTTGTCTTACGTGGGGGCCAGTGTGATGTGCACTAACGACCTTCCTCTTTGTCGGCCGTCCAGCTCACAGCACTCTTTCACCACTATTATCCCATTGAGATCGACCCGCACCGGACCATCAAAGAGAAGTTGCCTCATATGGTACAGTGGTAAGTGGCACTGATGAGAAGAACTCCTGTGATTGAAGATGGAGAGGGCCAGCATGACTGTCCTCCCAGAGCCTCAGTAAGCTTCCTCCCTGAGGGCCATGACACTGGCCCAGCTCTAAGAATCAGCATCCACTTGCAGCCTGCCTCTTTGCTGCCTCAGGGACTTCTGGGAGTAAGTTAGAAATGCCTTGGCTTGGGAGATGAGCAGCAAGTGGCCTTCATTCGGTGTGTTTTGTTCTGGTGTAACAGAATGTCACAATCTATGCACAGATAATGCATAATAAACAGAGTTTATTGGCTCACCGTTCAGGAGCCCGGGACGCCCCAGATGAAGAGGCTAGCGTCTGCTAACAACTGCTGCTGTGTCACTCCGTAGCAGAAGGGCTAAAAGAGGGCAAGAGTGACAGGAAAAAAGAGAAGAGAGAGCGGCTGAACTTACTCTGTTATAACCTAATTACATTATCCATTCTTGAGGGCAAAGCCCCTCGACCCAACACTTTTGTTAACTTTTTTTATTGCTGTGCAAAGATAGCATGATCAAGGAAACTTATAGAAGAACAAGGTTTTGGGAAGAGAGTGAGTCTATGACCATTTTGTCAGGGATCATGGCAGCAGGAAAGCAGGCATGGCTTTTGAAACTTCAAAGCCTAACCCCAGTGACACACCTCCAACAAGGCCACACTCCTCACCCTTCCCAAACAGTTCCACCCATTTTGGAGAACGTTTGAACATTTGAGCCTACGGGGGTTATTCTCATTCAGGCCACCACAGAGTTTGTAACCTGGGGACACAATCAAACTGAAAATTCTGTTAGAAACAAACACCACTAAGTGTGACCATAGTGGTGCACTTACATCATCCTAGCACTTGGAGTTGGGGATAGGAGGACCAAGGCTAGCCAGCGCTATACAAGACCTCGTAAAAAAAAAAAAAAAAACAAAAAAAAACAGACCTGGCATTCCTGGACAGAACCATGGGGGGGGGGGGTTAGGAGGAGGTTTGATTTCCCCGGTCCACTGTGCAACCCTGGTCTCCCTCTCCTAATAAGGATCACTTAAAGTCCTTCAGGAGATGCCTTTGTGGGATAGAACGTGCTCATTCCCCCCAGTGAGTGCCACCAGAGGGGACAAGGGACAGGGCACTCCATTTCCTGGGGTGACGGGTCCTGGGGTATCTATTCCTAGGTGGACCAAAGCCCACAATCTCTTGTGCCAGCAGAGGATACAGAAATTCCAGATAGCGCAGGTGGTTGGAGAGTCCACCGCGATGCTCAGGTAAGCTCTTTGCTGTAAGTCTTTCCACCCAACTACTTCGAGCAGCTTTGTGGGTTGGGGTGTGGCTCCCTGGTTAAATACTTGCCTGGCCTGCTGGAGGCCTGTGAATTCCATTGTTGGCATGGAAAAACATAAATAACAATGAAAGCCAGTCTAAAACTGTTTGACCCAGGCAGAGGGGGCTGGGGAGGGTAGAGTGGAGTCAGTGGCTGGGGGAAGGAAAGGTGGCTCACCCCAAAGCCAATTGTTTCAGTGGACTGCTGTGTAAAATGGCCAAACCTTCACTTCCTAAGGGCCAACTCCTTTTAAATGATGGTTTGAAAACAAACACACACACACACACACACACACACACACACACACACACCCATCCCCCACAACTCTGGGGTCTTTCTGGTTGACTGGCATTCCTTTTTTTTTTTTTTTTTTAATTGTTTTTGCTTTTCTAGACAGAGTTTCTCTATGTCGTTTTGGAGCCTGTCTGGCACTTCTCTGTAGCCCAGGCTGTCCTCAGACTCACAGAGATCCACCTGCCTCTGCCTCCCGAGTGCTGGGAGTAAAGGTGTGCGCCACCACCACCTGGCTTTTTATTTTTTTTTATTTCATTTTGGTTTTCCAAGACAGAGTTTCTCTGTGTAGCCCTGGCTGTCTGGAGCTCACGCTATAAAACAGGATAGCCTTGAACTCAAAAAACAATCCACCTGCCTCTGTCTCCCAAGTGCTGGAATTAATAGCCATACACCATCACATGATAAATATATACACATACATAATATATATGTGTGTGTGTGTGTGTGTGTATATATATATATATATATATACATATATATTATTGTCTTGACATTGAACTTAAAAGCACAGACCTTTATATGTGTGTATATATATATATATATATATATATATATATATATATATAAAATTGTCTTGACATTGAACTTAAAAGCACAGACCTTTAAATTGTTTTACATTTTTTTTATTATTTAGTATGTATTTTATTTTGTGTACATAATTGTTTTGCATGTACCTATGAATGTGTACCATGTGTGCCTGGTGCCTGAGGAAGCCAGAAGAGGTCATTGAACCCCCCCATGCAGTGATGCATGGTTGTGAGCCACCATATGGGTGCTGAACCCAGGTCCTCTGGAAGAGTAGCAAGTGCTGAGCTGTCTCTCCAGTTTCCCCAGTTTTTGTCTATTTTTAAAGGTAAAATGTGGTGAGGTGGGCAACACATACCTTTAATCCAAGCACTCAGGAGGTAGAAGTAGGTAGATCTCTTGAGTTCAAGGCCAGCCTGGTCTATATAGCCAGTTCAGTTCCAGGCCAGCCAGGGTTATACTGGGAGACCTTGTCTCAAAAACAAGTAAACAAAAAATTAGAGAGAGAGACCTCTCTCTATGTTTACATATGTGTGTGTATATTATAAACAAACAACAAAGAAAGAAAACTTAAGAAATTCCTTGCCTGAGGTGCTGAGGAGATGGCCCAGTTGGTAGAGTGCATGCTTCCTGAAGCATGCAGACCTGAGCTCAACCCCAAATGATGGGTGTGGTAGCAAGAGTTTGTAATCCTAGCTCTGGGGAAGTGCAGAATCTCTAGGACTGCCTGGCTGGCCAGCCTAGCCTAACCATTGAGCCCCAGATCCCAGTGAAAGACCCTGTCTCGAAACAAAGTGAGTCAGTGAGATGGTCAGTAGGTAAAATGCTTGTCATGCAAGCCTGACTGCTGTAATACTAGAGCCCATGTAAAGGTGGAAAGGGAACCAACTCCATGAAACTGCTCTTTGACCTCCACATGTGTGCCATGGTACAGCTATGCCCATAAACATACAGTGATAAGTAAAAATAAACAGGGGGCATGGTGCACACACAAATGATGGGGGTTGTCCTTCTGTATATATGTTTCTCTTATTGGTTAATGAATAAAACACTGTTTGGCCAATGAGGCAGGAAGATAGGCGGGACTAGGAGACAAGGAGAATTCTGGGAAAGGTAGGCAGAGAGGTGAGTGTCGTATCCCGCCCCCTCCCACCAGAATAGTTTCCATGTAGGCTGCCAAAGGAATAATAGGTCCGGACCCTTGTCTGGTAAGATAAGACCACGTGGAAGTACTTAGATTAATAGAAATGGGTTAATAATTAAGACAGAGCTAGCCAATAAGAAGCCTTAGTTATTGGCCAACAATTTTATAATTACAGCATCTGTGTGTTTATTTGGGGCTGAAGTGGTTGTGGGACCAGGCTATCGGTATCATCAACATACATACACACAAGTAATAAGATATAAAATACCTAGGCTAAGTAGAAAATAAAGTAGCATTAGCAAGGCCATGCCGTTCCCAATTCTCTGCTCTCTTTGCAGGGAGGGGTATAAGACGTTCTTCGACACACTCTACCGTAACAACATTCCTCTTTTCATCTTTTCGGCGGGCATTGGCGATGTCCTGGAAGAAATTATCCGACAGATGAAAGTGTTCCACCCCAACATCCACATTGTGTCTAACTACATGGATTTCAGTGAGGATGTGAGCCACGTCTCATCTGGGCTGCAAAAGAGGAGGGGTGGGCTGCCGGCCCAGGTGCCTTTTCACTTGGCCAGCTGGTCTCTTTGCCCTCTCTCTGGTGGGCATTTTTAGTCTGGTCTCTCCTTTCTTTCATCGAGACAAGAGTCTTGGGACATTCCCTAGGCTGGCCTGGAGTTCCTGAGCTCAGGCAGTCCTCAGGCTCGCCTCCTGAATGGCTGGGACTACATGTGTGAATCATGGCACTTGACTTCTGGGTCACTTGCTTTCTTTTTTGGTTTTTTGTTTTTTGAGACAGGGGCTTTCTCTATAGTCCTGGCTGTACTAGAAATAACTGTATAAACCAGGCTGGCCTCAAACTCACAGGGAACCACCTGCCTCTGCCTCTCTAATGCTGGGACCAAACCGTTCACTGCCACACCCAATCTGTGTGTTACTTTAAAAGGATCAACAGTCACCACCATAGGTTGTGTGTCACCCCGACTACCAAAATGCTTATACTTGGCCAGAGGTAAGTGGTTCCAATTTATGCAGGTTTTTATTTCTTCTCAGTGGGCAGCTATGATGTGGTATCAGCCTTTAATGCCAGCACCTGCAAGGTGGAGGACACAACCTTAGCAATTTAAAACCAGCCTTGGTACATAATGAGTTCAGATTCATGGGCTACAGGAGACCTGGTCTCAAACACAAATCAGTGGTAGAATTTTGCCACTCTTAGTGGCCTGTAGCTCTAGCACACGTGTGACCCAGAGAACATTTTTTTTTTTTTTTTAGATGAGACTCTGACCCTGGCCTGTTAGCAGAATGTTCTCTCAACCTGACTGAGCGGCTTTTTATTATATGTTTCCACCAGAATGGAGGTCAGGAATACCTAAGGATTGTTATTTTAAAAAGGAATTACAAAGTTCTCTTATAAAAGGCCAAGTGGTTTGGGCCTGGAGACATAGGCATGCGATCCCCAGCTGCTTAGGGACTTCAGGCAGGAACATTATAAGTTCAAGACCTGCCTGGCCTGAGGTGCAGAACAAATTCAAGGAGAGCCTAAAAGGCCTGGATAGAAAAAGATGTGACTTATAGCCAGAAGGCAGAGGCAGGCGGATCTCTGTGAGTTTGAGACCAGCCTGGTCTACAAGAGCTAGTTCCAGGACAGCCTCCAAACCACAGAGAAGGGCTGGAGAGATGGCTCAGAGGGACTGCTCTTCCAGAGGTCCTGGATTCAATTCCCAGAAACCATATGGTGGCTCACAACCACCTGCAATGAGATCTGGTGCCCTCTTCTGGCCTACAGGCTTATGTGCAGGCAGAACACTGTATGTATAACAAATAAACCACACACACAGAGAGAAACCCTGTCTCGAAAAACCAAAAAAAAAAAAAAAAAAAAAAAAAGATGTATCTTACAATGAACTGAGGCCAGGTGTGGTGGTGTAGTCCTTTAATCCCAGCACTCAGGAGCAGAGGCAGGGGAACCCAGGAGTTTGAGGCCAACCTGGTCTATCTACATAGTGAGTTCCAGAACAGCCAGGGTTCTGTGTAGTGAGACCCTGTCTCAGAAACAAACACACCCCCGTGTCCCCCAAACAAGAAAGAAAATAGGCATGGTGGTGGTGTACAACTTTAATCCTTGCACTCGGGAGGCAGAGGCAGGCAGACCCCTGAGTTCAAAGCCAGCTAAAGTTACATAGAGAGACTCTGTCTCAAAGGAAAAAAAGAAAAAAGAAAGAATTAGAGGTGTCTCTCGGTGACAGAGTGCTTGCATGTTTAAAGCCCCAGGTAAATCCTGGTGCCTTAGTAAGAGGCCAGCCATGCATGCTTAGGCTTTTGTGAGCAGTGCTTTTGTTGCACCTCTCAACTTTGCCATCACCTCCCAGAATGTAGCCAAAAGCAAGACAAACGAGCCTGGCTGGGTTCCATGAGAACGTTTATAAAAATAGACCAAACCCAGCCCCCGGGCTCTATCTAGCTTTCCAGCCTCTCGTTTATGCTACAGTAAAGCTTTTCCATTATCTCTGGGTTTGGGAACTTTTCTTTTCCTCCACGACAGACCCCTAGCCCTGCTCTCTGTCTCCCCCTAGCCCTGCTCTGTGTCTCTCGTTGTGATGTTTTAGGGTTTTCTACAAGGCTTCAAGGGCCAGCTCATCCACACCTACAACAAGAACAGCTCCGTGTGTGAGAACTCAGGTTACTTCCAGCAACTTCAGGACAAAACCAACATCCTCCTGCTTGGTGACTCCATGGGGGACCTCACTATGGCTGATGGGGTCCCTGGGGTGCAGAACATTCTCAAGATTGGCTTCCTAAATGACAAGGTAGGCAGTGGCTTGGCTGGGCCTTCCCCTCTGGCTTCTGCATGAATTCCTTGTCACACCTTTCCTGTGCTATTGTACAGGGTATTGTAGAGGGGCAGAGTTGTGTGTTCTCTCTCTCAGTGGATGGGGGGATGGAGTAGGGGCATGAAACAGGACTTCATGTATCCCAAGCTAATCTCAAACTGTGTAGCTAAGGCTGACCTTGAACTTCTCACCATCTTGCCTCAACCTCCTAAATGCTGGGATTACATAAATATGCTTTATGTGTTTTGGTATGTGTGTTTGTGTGTGTGTGTGTGTGTGTGTGTGTGTGAGAGAGAGAGAGAGAGAGAGAGAGAGAGAGAGAGAGAGAGAGAGAAAAGGAGCATAGAACCTCATAAATTCCAGGTAAGTGTTCTATCATCTAGTTATATCCCAACGGCTCAGCATTGGCTTGACCCAAGACTTGAGAGAAGAGGGTCAGTCCAGTCCATACAGGCATGGCTGTGTGATCACCACCTGTCGGTTCCCATTCTAGTCATAAATACTGCTAACCCGTTTAACTCTCACTTTGTGTAATGGCTCCTTAGGTTTTCTTGGAAGCGAGTATTTTTTAATCTATTGTTTATATTTATTGGCTTTTGAAAGTGGGATTTCCAAACCCTGGCTTGAATGAGATGGGAAATGCCAGAGTTGAGAGAATAATTTTATAAAAGGAAACAAAAACAGCAGAGCCTGGCGGGGATGGATAGGGCACAGGCCAGAAGGGCTCAGAGAAAGGTATCCGAAAGGGTGGGCCCAGCCAACAGAGGCTGGAGCCCAGTGGATGCCATATATCCTATATATGCCATATGACCCTATATCCTTGAACTCCCCAGGCTTTCACAGAAGAGCTGGGGAATGATGTTTTGCACGCCTCTACCCCAGGCTCTGAGAGGCCTGAGAGTAAAAGATGCAAAGTGGGACATTTGGGGGACTAAGATCTGTTTCCCTGGGCAGGTGGAGGAGCGGCGGGAGCGTTACATGGATTCCTACGACATTGTGCTGGAGAAGGACGAGACGCTGGACGTGGTCAATGGGCTGCTGCAACACATCCTGCACCAGGGGGACTGCATGGAGCTCCAGGGCTCCTAAACTGCAGGCTCTGAGGAGGAGGCGTGCCTGCCTATGAAGCCTGACGACGCCTCCTCTGTGAGCACTGAGAGAAGTCTAGAGCTGCTGGGCCCTCCTCACCCCTGACTCCTTCCCCATGCCTTTGCCTTCTTCCTGCTAGGAAGCAGCTTGAGGGAGGGAAGCAGGTGTGCTTCCAGGTGAACCAGGAACACAGTATGCTAGCCTTCTACAGACCATGTAGTCCAAAGAGGCTCTTCCTAAAAATGTGTTCAGAGCTGGAAGTACAGATCGCTCAGTGGTGAAGCCTAGCATGTGGCGGGCCCTGGGTCCCTTCCCCAGCACTGTAAAAAAAAAAAAGAAAGAAAAAGGAAAAGTAAAGCTGTACATCAGACAAATACAATGTGTGAGTCAGACGAAAATGAGAAAACAAAAAGCAGAGCAGCTCCAACTCATGGTGTGGGAGTTGAGTGTGCAACCTGAGCCTTGTTCCTCAAGGCACAAGGCCCTGCAGGAGACTTCTGGAGCTCCACAGAACAGTTTGAGAGGAGTGGGAAAGCTTAGAAACCCTGTGTGAGTGCAATGAGTCTGCTGAGAACCCCGTGTGAGTGCAGTCTGAGCCTGCCTGCAGCCCGAACCCTGAGGGAATAGCTCAGCAGTGTGTCTGTAGGTTGCACTGTGTGTGTGTGTGTGTGTGTGTGTGTGTGTATGGACAGGCATGATCCTGACCTGCAATGGGTACAGCCTTGGCTGTAGGTTGCAGTGTGTGTGTGTGTGTGTGTGTGTGTGTGTGTGTGTGTGTGTGTATGGACAGGCATGATCCTGACCTGCAATGGGTACAGCCTTGGCTGTAGGTTGCAGTGTGTGTGTGTGTGTGTGTGTGTGTGTATGGACAGGCATGATCCTGACCTGCAATAGGTACAGCCTTGACTTGAAACTTAGCTGGGCTGAGGTGGCCTGTCTGAGACACCCCCACATACGCGAAGAATCCATTTGAGTATGGATTTTCCATACGTCCTTGGATCTTTCCTCCACTTTTTGGCCTGAAAGGGATTTTTTATTTTAATTCGTGTATATGAGTGTTTTGCCGGCATGGATGTATGTGCACCAGATGAATGCCTGGTGACTGCAGAGGTCAGACGAATGTGCCAGATCCCCCGAAAATGGAGTTACTGACGATTGCTATCCACTGTGTGGGCTCTGGGAAGTGAACCTGGATCCTCAGCAAGAACAGCCAGTGCTCGTATCCACTGATCCACCTCTCCAGGCCCCTCAAAGGAATTTGAGGCCAGACCCCCCAGGAAGACTGCAGAGCAACACAGAAAGGATTGATGCACTAGGACCTCGCCATACCAACTGTAGTTTCCTTCCCTCTGTTTACTCATAAAGAACTAGGGTATCGCGGTAAATAAGGATCAGGATAAACAAATAGGCCGAATAGATGTTTATTCAGGGAGAAATAACTTACAACCTAGACAGATGAACACCAGGAAATTCAACCCAATCCTCTCCTGTCCGAGTCATGCCAGAAAGAGAGCTCCTTACTTGGCCCCCTCCGACCTCCTTCCACAGGTCACTCCGCCCATGGCTCCACCCCCAATGGGCGTGGTCAGTGCCACAGAACTATCTCCCTACAATTCCCCTTTTAGTCTAAAGAAAAGATTTAGGCTTAATACAAAACTATATACAAAACAGTGAATAATAAGTGTGCTCTAAGAAAAGGAAAATCGAAAACAAAATGACCTACATATCTAGTCCTAGGGTGAGGACATAATGGAGTTTACAATAGAGTTGTCCTAAGCTGGAAAATGTAAGTCTAGTACCTAATATATTTAACTAGGAAGAGAGAATAATAGTTGTGATAGTTTAATCTTCAACCTCATCAAAACCTGAGAAGGAAATTAACAATACTAGAGTAGACAGGAAATGCGGATGGACAACTTCCAAAAGGTGCAGCAAGGACAGAAACAGCAAGCCACCTGAACAGTCACCCTAGGTCTCACAGCAATGTTGGTACACCCAGATTTGGCTAAGGCCAAGAGAACCTGACAGACCACAACAACAGCAGGGAGGTAGAATGGCTGTCTTACCCTGACTTGGCAAGGTCAAGCAGTTTTTTATATTTGTCTCCTGTAAGCACCTAGGACTGCATGTCCAAATCAGTGGTTAAGGTGGGGGCAATTCTATGCCCAACAGGCCATTAGCTGAGGCGAGAATGAACTCCAGCAGGAGCAACAACAGTGTCCAACATATTTTTGGGAAAGTGTACGGTGCTGTCAGGAGCAGCAGTGTCTCATGTCAAAGGAGTACTAATATTAAAACATTTAAATGTCATGTTCTGCATGTTTATGAAGTGATTGAAGATTAAGCATCTATATCTGACTAATCTCATAGGTACAGGAAATGTGAGTGAAGATAATCTGTAATACTCGGGAACTTAGCTAAAAAGACTGATTAAAACTTCCCTGAGTAAAGCAGGAACAAATACTTAAACAATATAACTATTACATATACATACATGTAAATCCCTAAAATAGAGGTAGAGTATAAGTGTCAAGACAAGAGGTAGAACTATAAAGGGCAGCAAGATAAATATCCCAAATTGTATCAATATACAAAATGTCTTGAATACAAGAAAAGTATACATACATAGAATATGGTAAAAAATAATGTGCATAAAACATTGTAAGTGGAAAGATTTAACACAATATAACAAAATATAAACTTAATTTTACATTGCTTACCACATAAGAATACACAACAATGTAAGCTGTAAAACTAGGGGATTTCTCCCTGTGGCTCTTGTCAAACAAACAGAAGAGCTGGTTCTCCTGGACTTTTTCTCTCATCCCTTTAGAGAAAGTTGTTCATACATCCTCTGGTCCAGGAGGCTGGTTAGCCAAAGTGCTGTTAGCTGCAGAGCTGAAGGGAAAGGGAACTCAGGACTAACATGCCTGCTGAATGTAGGTGCCGTCCTGGGCATCTATACACCTGCCATTTTGTTCTCGGTGACTGAGCAGAATCCCTCATTTGCAGGTGGGTAGCTTAGACAGGATGAAAAACTTGCCCAGACATAGCTAGGAGCCAGAGCCAAGTTCTGAATACTTCTAGCCAAAGCCCGTGCCTGTTCTCCGTCTGTTTATGTTTCTCAGCTTTATTTCAGGGCTGTCCTGGGTTTTGTTGGGGAGTCAACAGGGCTGTCCTGGGTTTTGTTGGGGAGTCAACAGGGCTGTCCTGGGTTTTGTTGGGGAGTCGGGCACTATGACTGGTTCAGGATCACAGGCTGACCTCAGGAGCTTTCTGGAAGCTATGGTGACAAGGAGTACCAATCACTGGCTTCTGGCAATAATCACGTCTGAAGATCCTGTAGTGTGTAGTTTTCTGTTGCCGTAACAAAATCAGTAATCAATTTAGAGGTTATTCCTAGTTTGGGACACTCCAGCCTGTGAATACTTGGCCTCGTTGCTTTGGGCCTGTGGTGGCAGAGTAGTCATGGCAGGAGCACATGGTGGAGGAGACCCATTTGCCTTATGGTGGCCAGGGCCCCACACTCCACTTCAAAGAATACCAAATTGTCTCGGTTACTTTTCTGTTGCGGTGACAAAATAACTGAGGCACTTATGGATGCGTTTAATTAGACTTGTGGTTTCAGGTTAGACTCCATGATAGTGCAGCAAAGGCATGGTAGCAGCAATAGCTGAGAGCTTGCAAGATGATGTACAAATAGGAGGCAGACAGCATCCTGGAAGGGGCGGGGGCAGGCACTTTTGAAGCCGCAAAGTCTGTTCCTGGGACATGGCCTCCAATACGACCAGACCTGATTGTGCCCAAGCAGCACTACTAATTGGGAACCAAGTATTCGAACATGTGAGTGTGTGGGGCTATTCTCATTCAAACCACCAAGCCGATGACTTAAAACCTTGCCCTAGGCTCCCACCTTCTCATGGCACCCAGGGCTGGAGTTCAAGCCTTAGGGGACACCTGATTGCAAACTGTAGCTCTGGGCAAGAAGAGGGGGCCTGGGAAGAGTTTGCCATGTGCATGTGGCCTTGTCATTTTATGTAAAGTCCCCACTCTGTGCTCAGAAAGCCCAGGGCATCTCTGTCACAGGGGGCAGAATGAGGCAGGCAAGTTAGGGCACACAGACTGGCTTGCAGAGGCATTTCTCTCTAGGATCAGAGATCTGGTCAGTTCCCTTCCCCTGGCAAGAGGGAGAGGGGCAGGTGGAGAGAGGAGCTGGGAATGCTACAGTCCTGAAAATGGATCTGTGTGAACAAGTGCAATCTAGCATTTGTGGTTCAGTTTGGTTCTTGGGGGTTGTCTTCCTTTAGGGACATTGTTTCTGCCTTTAGTTGAGACAATAGGAGGATAGCAATCATCTCTATGCTTCTCCTGCAGACCTTCATCTCTGACTGTTGAGTCCCAGGGCTCTTTGTACCCAGAGGTAGTTAGGTTTGAGGGAGGCAAACAGGAAGATGGCTGTCTAGAGTCTGCAGCTCATGAGGCCACAGCAACTTACTGGCTGGTGCCCTTTCTGCCCCTGCCCTTGGGTTAAAAGCGCTCTCCAGGGCAGGGGAGATGGCTTAGCCAATAAGCCATGCTAATTTACCATGCAATCGCAAGTCTGAGTTGATTCCCAGAAACCATATAACAAGCATACAACATACACCTGTAATCCCAGTTCTGATTTTCGAGCCAACTGGTCTAATCTAATTGTTGACCTTCAAGTTCAATGAGAGACCCTGTCTGAAAAAAATAAGGTATGTGTAAGGGGCTGAGGAGATGGCAGCAGCCCAGTGTGGTGGTACATGCCTTTAATCCTAGCACTTGGGAGTCAGGGGCAGTTAGCTCTCTCAAGGCCAACCTGATCTACATAACATGTTCCAGGACAGCTGCAAAAATGGACATTTCTCAAAAAAGGGCAGAGGAGAAAAGGCTCAGTGGTTAATAGCACTTACCACATGGGTTGGACAGACAGATGCTACCTGTTATGATAAAAACAGAGGGGAACTTTGTCAGCAGATGGGGGTGACTGAGGCAGGGGACAAACATACCAGGCAGACAGAGCTTAGTGAGAGGTTTATTAGAAAGGGAAGGGAGGGCCAGGTGGTGGTGGCACACACCTTTAATCCCAGCACTTAGGAGGCAGAGGCAGGCAGGTCTCTGTGAGTTCAAGGCCAGCCTGGTCTATCTACAAGAGCTAGTTCCAGGCCAGGCTCCAAAGCCACAGAGAAAAAAAAGAAAGGGAAGGGAGGAGGGAAAGAAAGAGGAAAGAGGTAAAGAGACACAGAGACAGAGAGACAGAGAGAGGAACAGCGGGAAAGAGAGCAGAAGTGGGTGAGGGTTTTTCTCTTAATGGGTCCAGACTATGTAGGGATGTAGCAGCCTTGGAACCCAGGGATGACCAGGGTACTGTCTGAGTGCATTCTGCCAGGTGACAGGGGGCAGGCCAGCATAATGCCTGAATCCTTACACCCATATCCCCTCCTGTGTGTGTTTGGGGGAAAAATAAAACAAAAACTTTGGTTTGGAGTGTTTTTGTTTTGTTTTGAGACAGTTTCTGTGTAGCTCTGGCTGTCCTGGAACTTGCTCTGCAGACCAGGCTGGCCTGGGACTCATGGAGACCCACCTGCCTCTGCCTCCTGCTTGCTGGGATTAAAAGTGTGCACCACCACTGCCCAGCTGGACTCCCAACACCCACATGGCAGGCAGGCAGTTCACTGTTGTCTGTAACTCTAGGAGATCCAATGCCCTCTCCTGGCCTCTGAGGGCACCAGGCACACGTGTGGGGCAGACATACCTGCAGATTAAACACTCACATAAAATACAAATAAATGAAAAGAGAGAGGAGTGAGAGAGCACATATTGCTCTTCAAGAGAGAAGAACACATCCAGTTCCCAACACTAACATGGCAGGTAACAATTAGCTGCAAGTCCGGTCCCAGAGGATCTGACACGTTCCTCTGGTCTCTGTGGGAGTCAGGCACATGTACCATAAAAGACATGCATACAGGCAAAACATCCATCCATACATGCACACACACACAAACACTAATTAAAAATAAACAAGGAAGAGAGATTGCTGAACATGAACATATAAATAAATACCCTCTCTCCACAGGGCCTGCTAAAAGATCACTCCTTAAGGCCTTCGGTTTAACCTTTTATTGACACCAAGGAGAAAGGATTAGATCAGTTTAGCCTTTGAGAGCCCAGAACTCTGCTTCCCTCCCTCCCAGCAAATTAGCACCAGGTGCGGGTTTGCACAACCCTGAAGCCCAAGCGGGTGTCCTCTCACACAGCCTTTCCTTTCCCAGAAGGCCTTCTTTAAGATGAAAAAACTGTCCCTGGCGGTCAGGGAGGAAGCTGAGTGAGAACGGTGGCTGGCAGGACTGTGTTCCTGGAGCCACCCCTTCCTGAGGAGTGGGCAGAGCTGATGCAGGAGAATGCAGGGTTTCCTCACTCATGCCCCCGGGGAGCTGCCAGGACAGAGGGAATGGGGACAGACATGGACAGGGAGATGGAGCAGGACAGTACAAATAAAAGGTACGTTTGGGAAAGTGAAGGACCAAGGAGCTCAGCCTTGCTGAGTCTGGTGTGTGGATGGGAGGTATGGGTGTGTGGGGTCAGCAATGGCCCTAACCAACACCAGTGCCCTGTCCCCGGATTGGAGTTATCATGCCAAGAACCTTAAGGAAGAGGTGAAGGGCTGGGAAGGGAAAACTGCAGAGGTCTGTGTTGTGGACTGGAAACACAGCCAGTGGGAAGATCACCGAAGTCTCCCGTGACATTCAGTGACTCCCAGAGTTATTCCCACTGAGGGAATAACTGTCGGCAGGCCATTTCCGCCGCCACCGTCCCCCAGCAGAGGGCCTTTGCGTCTGAGGTCAGCCCTGAGACTCTGGCCTTCAGAGCTCCTCATGGATCTGCTCCCGGTCCTCGTCTGACTTCAGCTTGAGTTCCTCGGCCGTGATCTTGCCATCTTGGTTTCGATCCTGGTTCTGAAACATGTCTCCTATAGTTTTGTCAGGGTCTTGCCCGGGCATGAGGCGCCCTTTGCCTTCACTCACTTGAGCCTTGATGAAGGAGGAGAACTGAAAGAGGGGAGAGCAGAGGACAAGCCCTGAGGATCAATGGCAGCAGCTGCGGGTGGCCTTGGGAAGGGACCCCAGGTGGAGTCCAACATTGTCTCCCCAGGCCTGGCACCCAGGGAATGCAGGCCGGCATAGCTCAGGGAGCAGACGAGGAGGGTGATAGCCAGGAGAGAGGACAGGCTGCACAGTGTGCAGGAAAGGAAGGGGGTGTGGCCAGAGGGCAAGTGAGCCTGCCGGCTTCCAGGTCGGGGTTGTGACGAAGCCCCCAGCCTACCTCTTCTGGGGGCACCTCTCCATCTTTATTGAGATCCATGTCTTCAAACAGGCTGGCTGGAGGATCCTGGTGCCACACAAAGAGGTAGCCTGTGGGCAGGCCCTCTTCTCGGGACACCAACTGCACCTCAAATAGCAGGACAGCACTGCCAGGGACACCCCGGGCTAGAGAGGGAGGGGAAGAGGAGAACGGGTCCAGGGAGGCCTCAAGCTGAGCCTGAACACGGGCCTTAGTCTTCTCTCATGGAAGGACATGGAATGTTTCGGAACTATCCTAAAGTTTCCCTGACTCCCCCTCCCCAGCCCCCAGCCCCCAAGGCCTGAGATGGGTAGGACAGACTGGGAATAGACATGGGCTCCAGGTCGCTGTCCCTCACCTCCATTCTCCCCGTGGGCCAGGTGTGGGGGCACAATGAGCTGCCTCCTCTCTCCCACACACATGCCCTGCAGGCCCCTGTCCAGACCTTCGATCACTTTGTTGGCGCCAAGGGTGGCCTGTTGAGGGGCCTCGTAGTCGTGGCTGTGGGGAAATTGGATTCCCAGGTCAGTGGCAGAGGTATCTGAGGTCTCTTTCAACTTCTCCGTTATACTAGAACGGCAGTTCTCTCTTTCTCTAGCTTCCCTTCCCGGTGGCCCTTGTGCCGTGTTTCATATCCCTGGCTCCCGGAGGAGGCTCACTCAGATGGGGACTTGTGGAGGAATTGAGAGATTGTGAGACCAGAGAAAGGAGCCTGCAAGCTATTGGGAGCCCACCCATACCTGAGCCACCACCTGCCCAGCCCTGGCCCTGCCCAAGAACCCACGAAGAGAAGAGCCTGGTGCCATCCAGCAGAGAACAGTTGTAATGGTAGCGAATGAAATCCCCAATCTTGGATGTCTCATTGCAGTTCTCAGGTGGCCGGAACAGCGTCTTGATTTCCACAGGGTCCGAAGGGTTGTGGAAGTCGATGACGTGCACGTCAAAGATGAGCACAGCTGAGCCAGGGATCTTGTCTCCTGAGGCCAGATGGGGCTTGGTTAGCTCAGTGCTCTGGGTGAGGGCTACTCACTGTCTCCATGAGGCCCAGGCTGGCCACCCCTTCCCAATCTCAGGGAATCATACAAGACCAGACAACATGTTCCAGAACCAGTGCTTCCTGTACCTTGCTGTTGGAGTGATGGGACAGAGAGGCAGGGAAACCATTTTACACCTAACAACTTGCAAGCAAGCTCCCAGTAACACCCTGCTATGAGTGGCACCCAGCCTGAGGCTACCAGAATCCCTAATCCAGGCCTTTGTTCAGCGATACTGTTTATACTTTTTTTTTTTTTAAGATTCATTTATTATGTATACTGTGTTCTGTCTGCATGTACCCCTGCACGACAGAAGAGGGCACCTGATCTCATTGTGGATGATTGGGAGCCACCATGTGGTTGCTGGGAATTGAATTCAGGACCTCTGGAAGAGCAGCCAGGTGCTCTTAAGTGCTGAGCCATCTCTCCAGCCCAGTGCTGTTTATTCTTAACCATCCTCTGTCCCCAAACTTAGGTGTTGCCTGCCTTTCTCCACTGGGGTTGGGGTGCAGGGCGGGAGTGAGGCCTGCCTTGGGGGAGCAGGATAGGGCCTGCCGGGTAGAGCTCCAATGGGTGACCAATATAAGCTGTACATGCTTGGGCATGTGTACATGGGAGGGATAGCGGGGGGAGGGGGGTGACCTGGGGACCAAACCCTACCTGTTCCATTCTCCCCGTAGGCAAGGTGAGGGGGCACAGTAATCCTCCTTCGCTCCCCTACGCATGTGCCCTGCAGCCCCTGGTCCATCCCAGGGATGATGTAACCCTGTCCAACATAGGTATTGTAGGTGTGGTTGCGGGAGTAGCTGCAATAGAGGGGAAGAGGAGGGGAGGGAGTCAAAAGGGCCCCACCCCTCCCAGGCTCCACCCCTTCAGCGTGCCCCTCAGCCCCCACCCTCCCACCTCAGGGCACCCTCTGACCTGGAATCAAAGAGGGTACCATCCATTAAAGAGCCATTGTAGTGGTAACGCATGAAGTCCCCTGCCACCGCTCGTCGGACACAGTCCCGGGGCAGCTCCAGTGTCTCCAGCTGGACTGTGTCCTTCGGGTTGTGGACATCAATCAGCAGGACATAGAAGACCAGGGAGGCCTGCGGGGGTATCACAGTCCCTGGGGAGGGCACAGGGCTTGAACCACACAAGTGGGGAACACGGCCAGGCTCAGCAAGGGGCCTCATGCCAAAAGAGCTACTCTGCCCTCCTCTGTCCCCAGAGCCACCATCAACCCGTTCTGAGCCTTTGTGTGAGTCAGAATAAAGCAGTTCTGTGTAGGGAGGGAGATTTCATCTCCTTGGCTGGATGCCCCGGGACCGAGTTGCCCCTCTTCTGGAGAATTCCCCTGTGCCCTTTGCCTTACCATAGCCTTTCTCCCCATAAGCCAGGAAGGGAGGAATGATGATCTTCCTTTTCTCTCCAGGACACATGCCCAGCAGCCCTTGGTCCATGCCTTTAATCAGCCAACCAGAGCCGATGTAGGTGTCATACGTGCCTCCACTACTGTAGCTGCAGAGAATAAGGCAAAGACCCAGTGACTGGAGGCCAGGGAGGCTGAACAGACCTGCTTTTGGTCACGTGTCCCAGGCTTTAGGACTCCTCCCAGGTTCTACCTGTTGTCAAAGGCGGTTCCATCCAGCAAAGTGCCGTTGTAATGGTACCGCACGAAGTCGCTGTTCTGCACCATGCGGGGGCAGGAAGGAGGGCGCAGGAGGATGGTCATTTGCACCGTGTCTGCCTTGTTCCACACATCCAGCAGGACCACGTCAAAATAGAGGGTGGCATCAGGGGGAATGAGGCCCGCTGTGGGGACGCAACCAAGGCCAAGTTTACAGGAGTCCCACACCATCTGCGATACCTCTGACCCTAACTACCATCCTTTCCTAGCCAAGCTGTGACTCCACACAGGGCTCTGTATTCATCTCCTCTCATTCCAGAGTGAAAAAATGGCCATGGCCCCTACCAATCAGATTGAGCACAGTGTGACCTTGGCCAAGTCACTCAGCCCCTTTGAGCTTCAGCATTCCTGCCTCTTGCCCACACCCTCCCCCACTGTCCCCGTCCCCCCCCCCATGGCCTCCTTACCCACACCAATGCTGCCGTAGCCCAGGTGGGGAGGCACAATGAGGCGACGGCGCTCGTTAACACACATGCCCATGAGACCTCTGTCCATGCCAGTGATGAGGCGGCCAACACCCACAATGATGGCTGCCAGGGTGGTACGGTCATAGCTGGGAAGTAAAGGGACAGATGGGCATGCGCACAGCTACACAATACCCTCTGTCCACAGTCGCATATACACAGGACACGGTGCATGCACACACACCCCTCACTTCCTCTCCTCTTCAGGTCTGTCTCCTGGACTAGCTAGCCCTTCTGCCCCTCTTAGGGCAACAGATTGGATGGGGGTGGTGGTACACACCTTTAATCCCAGCACCTCAGAAGCAAGTGGATCTCTGGGAATTCAAAGCCTAACTGGTTTAATAAGGAGTTCCAGAATAGCCAAAGCTACGTAGAGAAACCTTGTCCTCGTCATCATCATCCTCATCAAGAACAGGCTGTTCCAAGAGAGATGTCCCAGAGGTGAGAAGCGTTTATTCCCCTGATGGGAGGGTGGTGGAAAAGATAAGCCTGTCTGCTACTTATTGCTACTACTTTTTTTTTTTAATTTACTTGTTTATTTTATGTATATGAGGGCTTTGCTTTCATCCATACCAGAAGAGGCCACCAGATCTCATTACAGATGGTTGTGAGCCACCATGTGGTTGCTCTGCTCGGAATGGAACTCAAGACTTCTGGACGAGCAGCCATTCAGTGCTCTTAACCACTGATCCATCTCTCCAGCCCCCTTATTGCTACTTCTCATAGCATAGCTCAGAGGGCAAATGAGTATTTATGGAGCACTTACTATGTGTGTGTCAGATTAAGTGCTTGACACTTTACATCCGTTATTTCACTCTGTTTTCTCCACACGAGGACATTACTGTTGTCAGTTTTTCTTTATTCTGATACTGGTAACAAAATCTAGGGCCTCACATAGGCTAGGCAAGCACCTGCTGCTGAGCTACAACCCAGCTGCCCTCACTTTTTGTTTGTTTTCCAAGACTGTCTTTTTCTGGGTAACCCTGGTGATCCTGGATCTCGCTCTGTACACCAGGCTGGCCTTGAACTCAGAGATCTGCCTACCAAGCACTGGGACTAAAGGTGTGCTCCACCATGCCCAGCTTTTTGTTTTGCTTCTAAGAGAAAAACAGACACCTGATAGACTCATTACCCCACCTACGGTCACCGCTCCTAGTTTCTGCTACTAAGCATCCATTCTCCGAGGAACAGGAAGCAGAAGTGGCCAGAGATGAGAGGAAAGCAGCTTTCCTCAAAAGAAAGCCCTTCTAAACTTATCCTGCCTTGTTTGTGTTTTCACAAGTGAAGAGAGAGTTCTTTTCTTTAAAGAAGAGAGAGAGAGAGAGTTGTATATGTCTGTGAGTGTGTGCTATGCATGCATGCAGAGGCCCCCAAAGGGCATTGGATGTCCTCACCTAGCACCCTATGGCTAGTCTTTTGAACTTCTCTCCCTGACCCTAGGGCACACAATGCCCAGTTTCTCATATGGGTGCTAACCCTTGTAATGATTGTACAGCAAGTACCCTTAACTATTGAGCCACCTCTGCAGTCACCCTGTCCCATGCTCTTTGAGACAGGTGTGTTTGTAGCCCTGGCTGGCCTGGAACTCTCTATGTAATCAAGGATGACCTTGAATTTATGATCTTCCTGCCTTTGCCTCTTAAATGCTGGGATTGCATGTGTATGCCAGTTGATATGGTTCTGGGGATCTCAGGACTTCATGCATGCTGGGTAAGTACTCTAACTAAACTACACCCCCAGCCCCAAGAATAGAATATTTATTTTTTTAGACTTATTTTATGTATTTGAGTGTTTTGTCTGTGTACCATGTGCACACCATATCCGTTGTCTATGGAGGTCAGAGATCATTCCAAACTAATATCCTCTACAAGAACAAGCACTCTTAACTGCTGAGCCATCTCTCCAGCCCCAGAAGATTCTATTTTGGTTGAAGGTAGCCAAGGGTTTTAAAAAAATTTCTAATTTTAACATTTAATAACTGGGCCCAGCCAGGTGGTGTGGTGCATGCCATACATAAATCCTAGCACTTGGGAGGCAGAAACAGGCAGCTCTCTACTTAGTAGAGGCTGATCTATTTAGTAAATCTCAGGTCAGCCAGGGCTACATAGTGAGATCTTGTATCAAAAAAAAAAAAAAAAAAAAAAAAAAAAAAAAAGGAGTCTGAAGGATGTCTCAGTGTTTAGAGCACTTGTTACCTTTGCAAAGTATGTGGATTCAAGTCCCAGTACCTCATGCTGGTTCACAGTCATCCAACCCTCTTCTGACTTCCTCTGACACCAGGCATGTGCCCAGTGCACATGCATACATTTGGGTAAAATAAATACATATGTATTTTCTTGTTTTGGTTTTTGTTTCTGAGACAGGGCTTCTTTGACTTTCCTGGAACTCACTCTGTAGACCAGGCTGGCCTTGAACTCAGAGATCTGTCTGCCTCTGGATGTTGGGATTAAAGGCATGTGTCATGCCAGGAGGTGGTAATTTTTTTTTTTTAATTTTCGATTTTTTAAGACTATCCGCTATGCTCCCAGCTATATTCTTCATTTTGCCCAGAGTGCAGATTTTATGTCTAGTCTATTTTCTTTACAGTGCTGTACAAAGGCCAACACAAAGTTTCTATGAGTTAAACGCCATCCGGCTTATGGTTCTTCCCAGAGTCTAGGCCAATATGTCCTGAACCCACTGGAGGCACTGTAGAAGCCACCATCGTTCATCTTCCTCATTTGCACTCTTGGGAAGTAGGCGCTGGTCCCATCCCATGTTTCGGACAAGGAAAGTGAAGATTAAAGAGACAAGCCTCTTCTGCCTGGATTCAAACCTAGGGTCTTACACTATGGAGACAGTATCCTCATCCAGTACACAACCTCCCTCCAGAGGCATGACCACTAATTGCTTGTGGGCTGAATTGTATATTACAGAGAAGAGACTGAAGGGTGACTCTTCTTTTTTGGGGTAGAGTTTCAAGTGTGATAGGGCCTGAAGAGACTGGAAAGAGGCTGCCACAGAGCCCTGCTCTGTCCTCAACAAAGGGGATCTGCCTGGCTGGCTGACTAAGGGCCTGGGTCAGAATGGAAGCCTATACATCAAGCCAAGGCTGGCCATACAGCCTAGTGTTAGCTGCTAAAGGTAAGATGGAGGAACTGAGTCCAGAGACTTGGAGAAAATGGCAGGGAGGTCCCCAGGATGGCATGTCAGACTTGTGACACGTGGACAGTTGGACACAGCACCAGCTATGGCCTACCCCAAAATTATACGGCCCACTCTGCTTAAGGCCCTCCCTGGCTTTCTAGGATCCCATGCCCTAAAGAAAATGTGGCTTCTCTAGTCTCCAAAGGCATAGGAAGCTGGAGGAGGAGGTAGACGGTAGACAGGGAGCCAGGGTGTGTGAAAAGGCAGGTGGCCCCATCCATCTATCTTCTCACCCCAGGATTCACATGTATAAGCAGCCTCTCTTCCTAACCTGTGTACCAGGGTACCATTCATGCCTTTAATAAGGAACTGGTAGATAAAGGTGCACTTCATGGGAGCATCAAGTATTCTGGGGGTTTGGAAGTGTGTGTTGGGGGGTTGTCTTTCAGGAGTTGAAGATTTGGGATGATGCCAGGGCCCTCCCCGGGGTGCTGTTTGGGGCTAGGGTAGTGGGAGGAATACAGGAATGCAAAGCTTACAAGGGGCCACATTCCCTGGAAGCTCAGGAAAGTGGTGTTGAGTCTGGGGATGCCCAACATCTTACCTGGAGTCAAACTTCTTCCCATCTTCGAAAGTGCCATTGTAGTGGTAACGCACAAAATCCCCCATCTGCACTTCTCGGGGACAAGCCCTGGGGATATGGTACCTCTCGATGACCACATCTTCCAAGGGAGCTCCGGCCCGGCTGGCACGGCTCAGCCCCCTCTCCGAAATCTGTAGAAGCAGCAGCAACCGCAGGATGGGGAGCCGGCGGAGGGTGTGACTGAGGGACCCCTCAAGGAACATGGTGCCCAGATCGAGGACGTCGGCAATGAGAGCTGACGCCAGCCGTCAGCCTCCTTCCCCCTCCTCAGAGTTGACTCTCCCCCTTCCTGTCCTCCCTCCCTACCCCGCCCTGGCGAGTCCACGTGGAATGGGGGCTGGGGAGACTGAGCTGGCCGGGTGGGGTGATGTTTGTGGTGGACTAGGAGGAGGGGGCCAGGTTGAGAGTCTCTGGAGTTCCAGGAATTTGCCACAAAGATCTCTGAATCTCCCTCCCCCAAAACTTCGGGCCTAGCCCAGAGAGAAGCTCGGGAAAACTGAAGTCAGAATGGACTTCCAAAAGAAAGTTTTTTCCTGAGCCTCTGGGTCCTAAAGCTGGTTGGAGGAATTTCTAGCTTTTCCTGGCTCCCCAAACCTAGGCCTCTCTGATAGCAAGTGAAGCCGTAATCTGAAGGATATTTCAGTCCTAACCCCTGCCCCAACTCTCTTCCCCCGGGAGTGGAAGGAGTGGGGGGTGGGAGTGAGTGTTCTTCTAGGTGAAAGGCAGCTTTGTCCTGGAGGAAAAAAAAAAAAAAGCCAGGCTGCTAGAAAGACACAGGGATCAAACTCAGTCCGGAGGCTGGTTGTGTCAGTGCCGGGTGTGCGGGGTAACACGAGTTGTGTTGCCCTCTCGACGCCTGCGCGGGGATTTGCGGGGCCACCTAGAGGGTGCAAAGGGGGCTCTGGAGAAAAGATCAGATTCCGAGGCTTCACCCGGAGCATAGGCAAGGTGAAGAGAGGTGGCACTTGAGGTGGGGGATGCTGCCGGCGGGAAGGGACTTTCTGGGCGTGAAATATAGCTCCACCCGCCCGGGTCGGGGAGAGGGCGGGGCGGGGTAAGCCTTGCAAGTGCGGGAAGTACAGCTCACGTAGCGGACTAGAGCCGCAACTGACCCTCCGAAAGAGGATTGTCCCAACCTCCCTGCTCCATCCCGGCGCGCCCGGCGCTAAGACCCAGCAGGAACTCCTGGGGTGAGGGTGGAGGGCTGGAGCCCGTCGGTCCTCCGGCTGCTCCGGGAGCCTCGGGGCGCGGCGCGGGCATGGCTCGCCCGGCGTGGGGGTTGCTGTGGCTGCTGCTGGGCAGCGCGGGCGCGCAGTACGAGAAGTACAGCTTCCGAGGCTTCCCTCCGGAGGACCTGATGCCTCTGGCCACGGCCTACGGCCACGCTCTGGAGCAGTACGAGGGCGAGAGCTGGCGCGAGAGCGCGCGCTACCTGGAGGCGGCGCTGCGGCTGCACCGGCTGCTGCGCGACAGCGAGGCCTTCTGCCACGCCAACTGCAGCGGCCCCGCCGCCTCGCAGCCCCGGCCCGCGCCCGGCCCGGACGATGACAGCGACGGCGATGGCGAGGACTGGGCGCGCGAGCTGCGGCTCTTCGGGCACGTCCTGGAACGCGCCGCCTGTCTGCGGCGCTGCAAGCGGACGCTGCCCGCCTTCCAGGTCCCTTACCCGCCCAGGCAGCTGCTGCGCGACTTCCAGAGCCGCCTGCCCTATCAGTACCTGCACTACGCGCAGTTCAAGGTGGGCGCGGCCCGGACCGCCGTCGGGTTTCCCTAGAACGTGTGGCCGGCGGTGCGTCCGACGCCCCACTGACCCACTCCCCACGCCCCTCACCAGGCGAACCGACTGGAGAAGGCGGTGGCTGCGGCCTACACCTTCCTCCAGAGGAACCCCAAGCACGAGCTGACCGCCAAGTATCTCAGCTACTACAGGGGGATGCTGGATATCGGAGACGAGTCCCTTACCGACCTAGAGGCTCAGCCCTACGAGGTGTGGAGAGTGGGAGGGTTGGCTGGCCTTGGTGCGCCTTCCTACACCCCCTGCCCCCAAGACACACACACCTTACTAGTTGTCGGGTCCTTTTGACTCCCCCCCCCTCCCCCGGGTGCCATGCTCCTCTCCAGGCTGTGTTCCTCCGGGCTGTGAAGCTCTACAACAGCGGGGACTTCCGCGGCAGCATAGAAGACATGGAACGGGCCCTGGCTGAGTACATGACAGTCTTCGCTCGGTGTCTAGCTGGCTGTGAGGGGGCCCACGAGCAGGTAGACTTCAAGGACTTCTACCCAGCCATAGCAGGTATCGCCTATTCAGACCACCGTGGGTATCTCTCACCCACAGGGCCCCTGCTTCCCAGGCCTCCTAACACAGGACTATGACCAGCAACAGCATTTGGCGGATATAGCAAAGTTCTCCAAAGCTACACATGAGTTAGGCCTTCTCTGTCTCCAGTCTTAATAAGAGAAATGCTGGTACACATAGCAGATTATGGGACAATTAGGGCTATGTGGAGAAATCTTGTCTCAGAAAGGGGGTGGGGGTGGGGTTCATGGTATTGCACGACTTTCATACCAGCACTTGGGAGTCAGAGGTAGGTGGGTCTCTCTGAGTTCAAGGCCAGTCTGATCTTTGAGCCACCAACCAGCTCCCAAAACCAGTTACCAAATCATGACACAGAGACTTCTTGGTTATGAATGCTCAGCCTTACCTTGTGCTTGTCCCATTAGCTCTTGTAACTTAAATTAACCTGTTTCTTTTCGTCTGTTTCGCCTCGGGGCTTAAGGTTAACTTTCTTTCATTCCGTACGTCCTATTTGGTGTCTGGCGTCTGGCTGACTGGCCCTGGGCATCTCCCTTACTTCCAATCTCATTCTCTCCTCTCTTGTTATCTCTTCCTACTTACTCTCTTTGTCTGCCCACCTGTCCTGTCCCTCTACTGCTTAACTATTGACCGTTCATCTTTTTAGTAGACCAATCAGGCAAGGAAAAACGGCAACACATCTTAGACAAATGCAGCGTAAACAGAATAACACATCTTTGCATAGTTAAAGTAATATTCCACAACACTGGTCTACATAGTGAGTTCCAGAACACCTATAAATACATAGTGAGACCCTGTCTCAAAAAAACAAAAACAAAAATCAAAAAACAAAAAAGAGATTCAGAGTTGACACCAGACAGGTGTGTACAGAAAGTACAACCAGTCTTTGGATCCCTAACTACGAAGTCCCTCAACCAGGGTAAAGGTGAGGGCTGGAGGAATGGCTCAGTGGTCAAGAACACTGACTACTCTTCCAGAGGACCCTGGTTCAATTCCCAGCACCCACATGGCAGCTCACAACTGTCTAACTGCAGAATCCAAAACCCTTGTACATACATAAGACCCTGTATGGTCTCAGTCCCACCTAAATGTCTCCTGCTGTTCTCCCAGAATTCCCCCTGGTGTCAAATAGGGGTTGAACAACCGGGGTGCAGGGCAGCAAGTTCTTCTCAACCCAAATCATGGACAGTGTGCCAAGCATTTCATGCATGCCAACCCATGCAAGGACACACCTCTTGCACAGGGAAGCAGGCTCCAAAGGCAGATCTTGGTCTCCACGGGGGTGGGGTGGGGGGTCGGGGGTAGCATACTATAGTCCCTAACTGCTACTTCCTTCCTAGATCTCTTTGCAGAGTCCCTCCAGTGCAAGGTGGACTGCGAAGCCAATCTCATCCCCAATGTAGGTGGCTACTTTGTGGACAAGTTTGTGGCCACCATGTATCACTACCTGCAGTTTGCCTACTACAAATGTGAGCTTCCTGAATGAGCTGGGTGAGGTGGGGTAAGGGCTGTGTGGGAAAGGGCAATACATGAGGTGCGGTCTCCCAGAAACGTGGGAAGGTGTCTCTCAGATTGAAGACTCTGAGGAAGGGGATGAAAGGCTAGGAATGGTGGGAGACACGGCCAGGAACCCAGACAGGGGCTATGGGGGAAGCTGAGAAGCCTCAAGAACGAATTAGAGACCCTGGGGGGGGCTAGGCTAGGACAGCAACGCTGCTCAGCTCGTTCTGGAGCCCTCATCTCCCTCCCCTCAGCAGCACCATGCCACTGGCATTCCTGGACCCATTCTTCAGATTCAACGGAGGTTTCTAAAGGGCAAGAGACCATTATCCCCATGAGTAGGGAGTCACAGAGGATGTGCCATCAGCTGGGGCTGGAGTGGGCCAGTCCAGGGTTCCTACCACTCAGGGATGCAACCTTGGGGGCTAGAGCTGTGAGTGGAGGAGCTGAGGTCAGGAGACTCTTCCTGAGGGATGTGGCTGAGAGCCCTGCCGGCTCTAATTTCCCCCAGCTGCTGTCACTCTTTAGCGTTGTCAGCACAAGCAGTTTATCTAGTCCCTCTGTGTCTCCAATCCTTTGTCTATAAACCACAGTGACAGTGATTGAGATGTCAGTGACTCACACTTGCCTGGTAGGAGGGCAACACCCTGGGCCTGTTGGATTGTGTCCTTTTGGGCTGGGTGAGGAGCGAGCAGGTATTCTGGAAGGTGTCTGGGGGTCGAGGCAGTGGGCTAGTTTGGAGGGTGGGACCGAGATGGGGTGAGTGGGTTACCTTTAAAGGGAACATCAGGGTTACCCCTTACTTTGTCCCGCCTGCAGTGAACGATGTACGCCAGGCCGCCCGCAGTGCTGCTAGCTACATGCTCTTTGACCCCAAGGACAGTGTCATGCAGCAGAACCTGGTGTATTACCGCTTCCACCGGGCTCGCTGGGGCCTTGAAGAAGAGGACTTCCAGCCCCGGGAGGTGGGAACTGCCTCTAGTGAGGCACTGGCCTAATGTGCAGTTTTGTGGTTTGGTTTAGAAAAAAAAAAAAAAAAAAAAACAAAACAAAAAAACCTCTTGACTTCCTTGGAAGGCTGGAGAGGAAGGGGAAGGATAAATATGGGCTGTGGTTAGAGTCTAGGCTTCAGCACAGTGTCTGGGATGTGGGAGGGATGCAAATAGGTACCCACGCATGCCTGCTTTCACCTCAGTGCTATCCTTTGAGCTTTCCCTGCCCCAGGGGCCTGTTAGCCTGAACCAACGAGAAAACCCCTTGGCAGTTTAGGGCACGGCTGGCAAATGTGAGCCCCATAGGGCCATCCCCACTTTCCATGCCAGTGGCAGACATTACTAATGGATCGAAGCACGCTTCCTCCTGGAATCCTCAAAATCTTTCCTTTTTGTTTTTCAAGACAGGGTTTCTCTGTAGTTTTGGAGCCTTTCCTGGAACTCACTCTGTAGACCAGGCTGGCCTTGAACTCCCAAGTGCTGGCTTTAAAAGGCATGCACTACCAAAATCCTTCTTAACCCAGTGTTCCTAGTAGCTAGGGTTACTCTGTGAGCTGATCCATTTCTCCCTGACCCCTGTCTTTGCCATCTGTCAGCAGCATCCACCTCCTCACTCCTTTCTTCCTCCTCCTCCTCTTCCTAGGAGGCCATGCTCTACCACAACCAGACCTCCGAGCTCCGGGAGTTACTGGACTTCACACACATGTACCTTCAGTCAGATGATGAGGTGAGTGGCACCATGATGGGGACATGTTAGGCTCTTTCCTGTGGTCACTAATGGGAGGAAGGACTTTCCTGTCCCCCATCTGTCCCTCCCCTTTCCCGCCACCTTAGAGTCCCCATGGCTCTTTCTCTGCCTGTCCCAGGTCTATGCCTCCTGGGCCCAGCTCAAATGGCAGCTCCTTTAGGGAGCCCTGGCTGTACGCCTTGGCTTTCTTCTGGGCTTACACTGGTCTCCCCACCTGCCTGCCTACCTGGCCTGAGACCTGGAGTTACTCATAGTCCTCACCCATCTCACCATGGCCAGATGGCCGGTCTCCTTGACAACTGCATCCCGGGATAGGAGACTAAATTATTCCCAGCTCTGCTACAGAACCTCACATTATGCCCATTCTCAGGAACTGTGTTCAAGGCAGTGGACAAATAACTGAAAGGATGAATGAATGAATGAATGAATGAATGAATGAATGATGCTGGGGAAAGCCATAGTACGCACCAGTTCAGAGTGAGGGTTTGGCGGCCTGGGTTTCTTGGGGGAATGCTTTATAGCTTGTTTATTTACCCCCTCAGTACATTCACTGTACCCCACATTCAGTGAACTCAGAAACAGGGTCTGCATTGTGACTCATGGCTGGCTTAGGTGCTGGTCATTCAGCTCTCGTCATTTACCAGATGGGTGGCCTTAGCATCATTGGTCTTAAGTAACTTAGCAAACCCCTACATCTTCACCCATCACCGAGGAGCATGCCCTTTGACTTTTACTGTGGTGGCAAATAAATGAGATTATTTAAAGCACCTAGTATGCAGCTGGCACTCGGTAGATGCTCAGGACACCCGGCAGTTTTGATGGCTGTCACTTTTGGTCCGCTGTTTGCCAGACATCAGGCTTGGGTTGCAGTAAGTGGCTGAGAGGAACAGTCTGTCTCCCAGAGGTTCTCATGAGGGAGGCATAGACTGTGTAGGTGCAGAGGCCAGTGTGGGTACCAGCCAGGGTGATGTTTGAAAGCTTCAGCCTGGAGTGGACATGTGGCTCTGGCGGCATCTGTAGGCCCATCCAGGTCAGGGTTGCAAAGAGATCCCAGGCAGGGGAGCAGAGCCAGAAGACAAAATGCACAGACTAGCAGTGTTCTCACTGGGGGTGGGGCCACAGGTGGGGCTGTGGTGCAAGCCATGCTGCCATGCTGACGCCAGCACCCCGCCTCTCCTGGTGGAGCCCCAAGTGTCACTCAGGGAAGCAGTTTCAGAATGGGACCCAGCAGGACAAACCCTGACATTGCCTTCATGTTAGATACTGACACTGGGGAGGGGTTTTCAGGCCCTGCCTGCTCACCTCCTGCCAAGACAATACTAGGAAAACTGCTGAATGAAGTGTGTGGGGGCCGGAAGATGGGGTGGGGGGTGTTCTGATCTGAAGGGGAGGGAACCTATATGGATGTGGGTCTGCTGTTACTCAGTTTCTCTCCCCACAACCCTGGACTGCTCTAGATGGAACTGGAGGAGACAGAACCACCCCCGGATGAACCAGAGGAGTCAGAAGAACCCCTGTCTGATGCTGAGTTTGAAGGGGAGGGTGACTATGAGGAGGGCCTCTATGCAGACTGGTGGCAGGAGCCAGATGCCAAGGGCGACGAGGCTGAGGCTGGTCAGTAATGGATTGTGATGAAGGGCTAAGAACACAGCTTGGGATGGGTGCTAGGGACGGGTTCTCCCTGAGCTGTGGTGCCAATGGAGTGTGGGTGGGTGCTGCCACCCTGCTCTGGGGTGTTGCGGCCTGTTGGGAGATCTACCCTCCCGCTAGTTCAGTCCTTAGACACCTGTTGGCGTGGGCAGAACTAACTCCTTGCTCTCTCCTTCCTTTTCAGAGCCAGAGCCTGAACTGGCATAAGAGTGGCGCACGCCCTTAATCCCAGCACTTGAGAGGCGGGCGGATCTCTGTGAGTTCAAGGCCAGCCTGGTCTACAGAGTGAGTTCCAGGACAGCCAGGGCTGTTACACAGAGAAACCCTGTCTCAAGAAGCCAAAAAGAAAAAACAAAGAGCAGTGACATGGTGCATCCCACCCCTCAAACTCAGGGTACCAGGCTAGGAGCAAGAACTATTTATTAAAACTTAAAATGGCCAGGAGTGGTGGCGCGTGCCTTTGACACCAGCACCCAGCGGAGGCAGAAGCAGGCAGATCTCAGTTCTAGGCCAGCCTGGCCTACACATCCAGGCCAGTGGAGGCTACGTAGTGAGATCTTGTTTCAAAACAAAAACAGCTGAGTGTGGTAGCACAGGCCTTTAATTCTAGCACTTGGAATGCAGGGGTGGGTGGATCTTTGTGAGTTCAAGGCCAGCCTGGCTCACATAGCGAGTGCCAGACCAGTGGAGGCTTCGTAGTGAGACCGTTTCAAAATAAATAGAAAAACCTTAAAAGGGGCATAGTTGGCCTAGCTCCCACCCAGACTCCACCCTACCTCTCTGTGTCCTTGAACCGCAGAATGGTGGCCACGTTGCTGCTTGGCAAGTGAGCTGGTGGGGGGGTTGCCCCTGCCCCTTTCTGTTCCACAGCGGACATCCTCCTGAGGAAGTTTTCGGCTTCTGGCTTGAGTCTCACAGGACCAAGGCCAGCCAGGTGACAGTTCTGACTGAGCTGCAGAGGGGGCTGAGGAACGTGGGGCTTGGAGCTCTGGTGCTCAATAAATGTTTATTGTTGAATGAATCGCTGCACCTGAGGCCGGTCTCCAAGGTTGAGCTGTGTGGGTATAGGTACTCGCCTCCCTCCTTCTGCCCATCTTCCCTTATCTATATAATGCCAGCCGGTGTACCCTGTGGCCTTGTTGGCACCCTCTACAACCCTGTCATCTGACTGAGAATGGTGTGCAACCTCAGACCTGCCACCAGGGGGCATGAAGACACAGTAGTCCCTGCTGCATTCAGAAGACAGTGGGTATTTCACACCAGGGCTGTCTGTGTTTGTCCGAGTCCCAGGTCACTCTTCTTGGGGCTTATAGCTATATGGTGAAGGGATGTAAGGACAATTACTATGTGTTTTTCTTTCCAGGGATCTCCCTAGCATTAGAGCGAGCATGCTCAGTCTGGCTATTACTGGAACCCCAGCTCAGCAGCCAGAGGAATGCTAGGAAAATGGTTTGAAGACTTCGGACTTCCTGAAATGTAGTGGGACCGTCAGAGTTCGCTTGTCCAGCCTTGCATTGGCTCTGGGGGGGACAGGAGTCTGGAGGAGCAGGGGCAAAGATGCCCTATAACTATGGCTCCTGCTGCCATTCCATGCAGGTGTTAGGGACAAAAGGGGCACTATCAAGTGAACACAGTCAAGGCCAAGAAGGTGACTCTACACCTTGACAAACTCCCAGGGGGCAGAGGCCTCTAAATTGGAGGGTGGAGTTGACCCAGGGAAGGGCATGCAGTTCTCACTGCCACACCCCTGCTCCCAGGTGCCAGATGACCTGTCCTGGGACCCACACTCCTAGAGGACTGATCCCATCTAACTCTCCCCTAGGCTCTGGTCCAAGTCTGTTTGCCTTGGGCTCAGGACAGAGAACTGGTAGCCTCTCCTAACCTCCATCTCTATCATAGGAGAGTTTCCTGACAGCTCCCAGCCACCAGGATGGCTCTGTCCCCCCTCCCCCTCCCAGGCTGTTGTGCTGTCAGTGTCTAGTGGCCCATCCCCTGCTGCAGGGAGGGGCTGCCCTCCAGGTGTGGCACAACATGGTGCAGGGAGCAGGATGGGCTTGAGCATGTCTGCACAGATGTGTGTTGCTGTGAGTACCAGCCTTGGAATCTGGACTGCTGGGTGTGGGCACGGAAAGTACTTGTGGATCAGAGTGCAAAGGTGTGTGTGTATGTGTGTATGTGTGCGCCTGTATGCAGGCAGAGGTCTGAGGTTATCTGTAGCAGCGTGAGCCTGTAGCACCCAGATGTCTTTCAGTGTGTATATATGTGTGTGTGTCTATGTGTCTAAGTGTGTTTGGGGAAGGCTTCAGTCATCCACACGCTGAGCACCTTTTATGTACCTGGCATGCTGCATGTGCAAGGCACATGATGATGAGCAAAACAGGCTACTCTCCCCCCCTTACACTGTTACACTGGAGGCAGGTGGTAAACAGTGGGCCTTATATAAACTCTTGGTATCCCAGGACTCAGGAGGTAGAAGTTTCAGACCAGCCAGGGCTACCTAGGAAGACCCTGTCTAAAAACAAAAATTGAGTTATGTTAGATATATTAGATAGGAAAATAGACCAAACAGGAGGGACCCAGAAAGCTGGAGGGTTTCAGTTTATGTGTGTAACTATGTTTGGGTATACATCTAAATGTGTTTGTGTGTGTGTGTGTGTGTGTGTGTGTGTGTGTGTGTGTGTGTGCATGCACACGCACAAGCGACTGTGCGCACAAATTAGCCAGCTAACCCTAGCAATCCTATCCAGGCACTTGCTCAGCTAGTCCAGTATGCCTCACTCAGCTCCCCTTTCTCAGGGAGCTGCAAGCCCCTCCCATCTCTCCCTAAAGTGAGCCTCTCCCATTGCCCAGCCAGCTGGCTCCCCAAACCGGTGAGACAGAGTCCCAGCCAGTCTCTGCGTGGGCCCTCCAGCCCACTCTCCCAGCCCCACCCAGTCCAGATGCTCTCACCTTTCCTCACCCGTCCTGCAACACCCCATCAGCTCTTCCATTCTCAAGCGTGTGCTGGGTGGAGGTGTGGGATGGGCAAAAAAACCACTAGGATATGACCTCACACAGTCAGACAAAACTCAAGAGATGCCACAGAAATGTTCTAGATGCAGAACATTCCCATCCATGTGAAAGCAGAACTCTCATGAAGAATGCCTCCCAGGAACCACCCTCTGTTCCAGGTGATGCTCAGAGAAGGGAAAGTCAAGTGTTATGGTCTGAAGGAAGGAAGAGGCCCTAGGCTTTGGGCTGTCTGCTGGGGCCAGGGAGAGCGGTGGGGTATAGAGCCCCTACTAAGTTTAGCCTATAAGTAATTGAAAAGGGAGAGTGGGGAAGAGAAGAGGGAAAGAAAAGATAAAGGCAAGGAGGGAGGAATAGAGTCCCGATGTCAGGCCCATGGCATTTAGGTCTCATGTTGGGTGGCGTGGGACAGGGTTGTTGGGGACACTTAGAACAGTAGCTTCCTGAATCCTGAGAGTGGTGGTCAGAGGAATAAAGGGTCCCACCAGTTCCCCCAAATTCCAGTAAATTCCAAAGAAATAAATGCCCTTCTTAGCCTGAAAATAAAGTTTTTAGCCACTCTAATTTAGCAGTGGGGTACTGCTTATAAATTTTACGACATTAATGTTAGTACTGACAACCCACTATGATGGGATTAGCCTTGAAAAGAATACTTAAAGAGACTGGAGAGATGGTTCAACAGTTTAGGAGCACTGGCTGGTCTTCCAGAAGACCTGGGTTTGGTTCCCAGCACCCACATGGCAGCTCTGTACGATAACCTTGAGCTCCAACTCCAGAGGATCTTCTGCCTCCCTCTGTCCTCTGCAGACACTGCATACACATACTTGCAGACAAAACACCTGTACACTTAAATACAATGTTTAAATTTAAAATAAAAGGACAAAGCCTTCATGTCTCACCTGATGTTGCCTATCTCTGAGAATAGCCTCTCTTCTGGGAATGTGGAAGGGGACCTTCTCCATGTTTGACGGCTGTGTCAAGCTGACTCTGGTGCTAATAACTTCACCAGACTAGCAAAGGGCACAGGGCCCCAGGGCCATCTACTCTGCCCTTGCTCCAGGCCCTCTTTTACAGTGTCTCTCCAAGGTCAGCTCAGGAAGATGGCCCTGATTTCATGGATAGGGAAACTGAGCCCTCAAGAGTCTGGATTAGGGAGACTCCAAAGCCAGGGCCAACTCTGATCTGGGCTAGCACACAGCTCTGGCTGGTTTCCTTTATGATCAAGTTCCAAGATGATGGGGTTGGATGGGAATATGCTGGGAGCCATAGCAAGCAGCCCTAGCAGAAACCAAAATCCCAGTCTATGGGCCCTTCACCTCATAATCACTACCTCCCTGGATCTCAGCTGGCTGGCGCCAAGAGCTCCTGGATAGCATCTCTTTTGTCCCCTGTCACAGCCCTTAGGATAGGAGACCTATTCTTCCCATGACTCAGGTGGGGAAACAGGCAAGGGGAGGGTGTATTTGTTTGCTCTCTCCTGCACATGCATATGATTGACCCCTGGACCACCTGGAAGAGTTCTCTAAGGTCACGAGGAAAGCAAAGGCCAAGAGAATGTGCCATTTTCCATTTGGGGTCACCTTCCCCAGCTGGCTTTTAAAAAGAAAGAAATTTGTGAGGCTGCGGGTGTACCTAAGAGAGTTTGCCTTGCGTGCTCTGAGCTCTCAGTACTCCATAAACTGGGCATGACGATACGGAACTGTAATTCTGGCATTCTGGGATGGAGGCAGGAGGTTGAAGTTCAAGATCATCCTCAATTGCATAGCAACTCTGAGGCCCGCCTAGTTTTGTGAAACTCTACTGGGGGCAGGAGAAGAGGTGTAATGTTATGTTCCTTGGATGAAGTCAGAGGTGACCATGCCTGACTCCCTCCTTTGCATTTGGCTCAATTTCTCAGGGTCTTCCTGGAGGAGGAGGCTGGCAAGGGATGGTTCAACCAGTCCAAGTGCTAAGTCTAGCTTTCCTCCCTGGCCTGACCAAGTGTGGCGTAGGGGGGTGATTTGAGGGCTTCACGGTCACACAGAACCATTACATTTTTTTCTTATCTCTGAGTGAGATTATTCCCTCTTCCGTCACAGACGTAGGATCAGGCCTGGGAGTCAGAAAATGCTTGTGCTATGACTTTAACCTTTAGCAGTTATTTCCAGCATCACGGTGTTATTTATTTTTAATACACTGGTATCCTCAAACTTGGAGGACTCTTTGGTGTTGGGAGCCCCTGACCCCTCATACACACTCCTATCCCCAATGGCTTCTCTCCATCATTCTTATGTACAGCCTGGTCCTGCCTCCCCCTCAGTGCCCCTCCCCCTCAGTACTTCCAGGTTCTCTGTTGGGATCATAAATTATCCATGAGCTGTAAGTTGGCTGCTGCTTCAATTGGAGCTGAAGTGCTGATGAAATATTCAAGGATCTCAACTCTCACATTCCCCAGGGCCCTGGCCCTAGATTTCGAGTCCTGCCCCGATTCCTACTGAGTCACTGAGACCTAGGCATGTGCATAGTGGTCTCTTTGCTGCATCTGTAGCCATGACTCTGCTTGCTGGGTACCGGAGGTGGTGGCTTAGAGGAAGTAGAGTCTAGGTTGCTGGTTGAGAGCCTGGGAGGGTTCTCGAGGCATCTGTGGCCATTCACCTGCCTTCCCACCTGATTCTCTAACCCTAAAGTGTTCCTGAAGCTTTACCTCAGATGACAGAAATCAAGCTTGAAGTATCAGTCCTTGCTTCCTGCTCCCCCCCCCCTGTCCCCAGAAGCCCACATCCCCTGGGTTGGAAACAGAGGTCGTTTGGGAGATGACCCAGTGGGCAGGAGACAAAGGTTCCAGTTCCAGCCCTGCTATGCATTTGCTGTTCATAGGCCCTAGATAAGCCCTTCTCCTGTCTCCAGCCTCAATTTTCTCTTGTGTGCACAGGATCCATCTCTCCCCAAAAACCCCAAGGCCAGAGAGAAGTGTGTGTGTGTGAGTGTGTCTGTGTGTGTGACATGCACAGGTGCAAGCTTGCTCGGAAGCAA